ATCAACATAAGCAGTGGTCAAACACGAAAAATAAATAAATAAAACAACCAAAACGAGTAAGAAAAAATTCAAAGATTTGACTGAAATCAGGACAAAAGCTTAAAGTCTGACTAATACCAGAATGTATCATAAGCAGAGATATCTTTTTTGCCAATAACACATAATATTCAATAATGCATTGTTTGCAAGGGTGTTTTAGGACAGGAATTAGGATGAAAAGAAATACTTAGCAGAAAAAAGATGTCCTTATCCAATTGCTATATTCTACTAACACAACAGTTATGTATTTTAACATCAAGAGAGAAAATATTTCTTTATATTTCTAAGAAGCTTTTTTGAGGCACTAGACAGAGATTTTCAGTTGTAAAATTTGCTTTAGAGTTTCACCCTTTCAGAAGTGTCAGAGACAAAAAATACCTGGGAATCTCTCCTATTATCTTCTTTATCTATAAATTCCATCAAAAAAAGATAACTAAAAAATTTCAAAATGATAAACTAAATCAAAACTGCACTTTGGGAAGCCATTACAGCAATATGCTGGATAAAAAAGGTGATTTTTTTCCGACCCTTAGCAGGGCTGGGAGCACTGCATGCCTTTCCACTTTGTGACATCCCCATCCTCCCCATCTTCCCAGCTCAGGCTCAGTTTCATACAGTCAGTCCCAGTTTCCCGTGATCTGATTTTCTTTCTCTTCTGCCCTTGATGAAGAAAAATCTCCCAAAGACCCTTATCTATTTTGCTCTTACTCTGTTCTCTCTTTCACTGACTCCCAGCCTTGGTCTCAGGCAGTCTTGCACTTTTCCACCCATCTGCAAGGTCAAGCTCTCAAGTTCCTTGTTTGCTTACCCATGCCCAATTCTGCCTGTCTGTATTCCCCTAGCCAGCTTCCAAATACACAGTCTAGTTCTGGAGCCCCTGTATTTGAGTCAGACTGCAAACCATTTTACACTGTTGTATTATTAACATGGAGATCACTGACAGCATGCAGGGCAATTAAAGAAAACAAAACAAAACAACATAACACAACAGGAGAGATGGGGCGAGGAGAGGTGGGTCAACAGAGTTTTCAGTATGAGCAAAACAACACATGTTTTCCCTCACCCATCCTCTGAAACAGCTGAATCATTTTGTTTTTCTGAACAATGCAGCCTCAGATATAAGGCATGGAAATTTTCATTTCAAATGATTCAAATCTGGCAAAAATATGAGCAACTGAAATAGATGTACAGCCAACATACTGAAAGGAACAATCCTACCTGCCATGGCACTAGAAGAAGGCTGTTCCTCCTGCTGTCTATATACTAGCTCAGTAACAGACCATGTTGATTTGGGACAGCAATGGTCAATAACAGAGTACATCTGAGAGAGAAATCATCCTCAGGTACGACCCTGGGTGTCACTAAATGCAACCTCTGAATAGTTCTTCTGCATATTTGAACATATATGCTTGAAAAACACTAATTATTACCTCTGTTCACTCTAGGCTTGGAAGTGCTTTACAGCCCATATGAAAATATATGAATTATTCATACAAAGCTTCTGGTCACTAACAGAAAAAACATGATAAACAAGGTATATGTTCACTTGAACTCGCACAGTACAATATCAATGGCTTGTAAACACTGCAAAACTGGTGATTCTGAGTTACTGGATTAATAGTTTCCAGATAGGTAGAAATTATTTTACATTAATCTATGAACTCAAACTGCATGGAAAACCAAGAAGTTATGGATGTTGGTAGGATATCGCAGATTTTCTGAAAGAACATTTTGTCAATTTTCCATTCCATCCCTTTGCAGCTACCACAAGACCAAGAACTAAGCTTCTGTCTATGTTTTTAGTAATAACAGAAATACTAACATGAAAAGAACAACAACTATAATAAATAAATAAATAAAAAGCTAAAACCACTGGAAAGTTTAAAGGTAGCTTATAAATGGAATGGCAGTTATAGTTTATCACGTCATTAGACAGTTTATGTGAACTGTAACTCGATCTACTGTATGTTGATGGCAATCATGTTTTGGCAAGCCCTGTCAAAAGGTAGGAATGGCCGTGGAGGCAACAGCAGAACTTACAACAGGGATGACAGAATAGTTCACAGACGTGTTAATACTTATTAGGGGGAAAGAGAAACAAATAAAAAAGAAGAAAAATACAGAAAAATCTCTGCTATCCCATATTCTGTTATTGTGTAGTACATCCTATCAGCAAAATCTGTTACAGTTGACAGCCACAGACAGACTTTCAGGTGGGGGTGATATCAGCTGTACTCAACGTTGACTACTAACTTAAGAGATCCCATTAATCAGTCTGGACGAAACCCGTTTCTTCAAAAGTGGCTAATAGAATGTTATGCATTTAATTGGGAAGCATATACAAGCTTTTGCATGGCTTTGACACTTGACAATGCCATTCTAATACTAATTCTGCCAGACACTGAAAAAGTAAAAAAGACAGACATATCCCAGGCATAAATGCCCACCCAGAACACAGTATGGGATACCTAAATTAAATGGCACAGAATTCAGCTCAGAAGAGTCTCCCTTTTTTATGATCCTGTAAATTTGTGCTTATTTTCATAAGGACTTGATTTGGAAATAAGCGAACACTCTCCTCCCCACCCCACCCCCCCAAACCACCCCCTCCTTTTTTATGTGTAGTAAAATTAAAATATATTCACTGGCCACTAATGCAAGATGCAAAGTCAAAATATGCTCCCCATTTTCATCAAAATAATAATAATTAAAAGCTTTGGCCTGCCTTGAAAGCAGTATAAAAAATTCTCCATATATGGATACTGTTTATTTAAAGAAAAGCCCAGTTTTCATACAATCAATTTTGTAAGTAGCAATTCAAAGGAATGATCCTTTTAGATTTCTGGGGAAATAACATAATGGAGGTTACTCAAAGGAATAGATCATGCAGCTACAAGCATTCTCATTATGTACATATGAGATGCTTCAATGTTCCTTGCTACTGATTACATGAGTAAACAATTTTAGTATGCAAAATCCTATTAACTCAAGGGGATTCTGCATAATTTTATAACAGCTCCACTTGTGGTGTCTGATCGACTGGGTCAGCAGCAGACAGATGGCAAAGAATTAATTCTAATTGCAATGCTGCCACTGGGGTTTTCTCTACTCACTGCATTTGGAAAAACTACACCTTTTCTTACATTTCCTACACCTAAAAGCAAGACACCATTGAGTAAAAAGATGCAAAGCAATTTCCTTTTTTTTTAAGCACATGGTTGTAGAAAGGACAGAAAAAAATCAAACTAATTGTCAGTCCTTCTGTCCGGACTAGGGTTAGAGGACCAGTCAAAAGCCCAAATGTCAGAAGTGTTAACATTTAATAAATGATAACAAATAGAAGCATTTTATTCCATAGGGACAGGGAATACTTCACTGGTCGGTAAGCACACTTCCACAGCTAGACTGTTCTCTTGAAATTATTTCTTCTTGTCACTGTGCTTGCTTGCTGTTCTGACATTATTTGGTTTTGGCTAGTCACCTTTCACTACTTGAAGCCCTATAACCAGCAGCGCTAGCTTTTACAAAGACTTTTTTCTGCCTTTTTCCCTGTGTTTTTTTTTTTTAATTTAGGAGGAACAGTAAAAATGTTGCAGCAGTCAGTATAAGAGGAAAACCAATGGAAATTATTCTGCCTTCCATTTACCCTCCCCACATAAAACCCTAAAAAAAAAGGCAATAGTGAATCTCAAATCTACAGAGGAATAAAATCTGATTTCTCAAGGTAGAGAGATGACACTGCAACCCACCCCTCCAAAAATTTAGGATTTCTCTTTTCCAATTCTTAATCACCCAGTTAAATCACTCCCTAATTCAAAGGTGCAATGATTAAGTATTATCTAGTACTTAGTGAATTTGTGCTTAGTGCATATTTAGATGGCAGATTATTAGCAGTCTGAAAATCTAAAAATGGTCCCTAAAATTAAATTATTAATACAGTGTTTCCCTAATCTTGGGAAAATGGTCTCCAAAGAAAACAATGATCTGGCTAGGATTTGCAGGTGGAACTCTTAAGCTCAGGAGACACAACCTATGTCCAGAAAACCTTCAAAGTACAGAGCTAATTAAACTGATACAGAAATATTTGGCAGAGTTTTGTTAAGAGACAGAGGCATTTTCCAGGCATAAACTCTGAGAAGCCAACTCCAAGACCTACATGGACATAGCAAGTATTCGATCACTTTTATTTGTCAAAGCAAAAGAGAAAAGGTGTTTTATTTTGTGGGTTTGCTTGTTTGAGGTTTGTTTTTCATTTGTTTTTTGAATTCTATGCTCCAGTTAGGGAGCAGAATGTAATTGGAAAGATGCAAAGGTAAATCAGGATTTTTTTGTTAAAAGAGTATTTGTTTTGGGGAAACGTTCCCCTCATGTTTCATGACAGGACAGTTCCTTTTAGTAACACTGTGTAATCACTCTTCTAGAAGCACTATTTTCTGTAACTTGAAAAAAAAAAAAATTTTCTTTTTCTTAAAACATTGCAACTTTCATTCCTCTTTCTCACATGCCAGTTTGTATTACGAATGTTTCACTGAAATCCAGACTAATTAGGACTGCTTCAGAAATGAGGGCTCAAGGTTGTCAGACATACCTGGCAACCCTTTTGGACAACTTTCTTCCATCTGGATTTTTAATTAAGCTCACTTAAAGTAATATGAGCAAATGCTGAAAAAACATCTAGTGAATTTTGACTAATCCAAGAAAAGACTTTCCTTGTGGTGAAAGAGAAGACAACTTCAACCTTTATCACTGACTGCACTGCACTTAATCCAACCCTGTCCTTCAAACATTTCCCAGTTTTTTGGCATCACACCCAACGAAGGAAGAATCAACAAAACCTAGTTCACATAGTACAGAAAAATAAGAGTTTTTTTTTTGTTTGTTTGTTTGTTTTTTGTAAATATTGTTGAGGGGCAGGAGGAAGGCTTTTTTTTATTTTTATTTTTTTCTTTTTTTTTCCTTACCTGAAACGGAGACTGGCTGTTGTAATTCTTAATCTCCTTATTTGCTCCCCGGAAGAGCAGCACTCTGGCACAACTCTCCTGAAAACGGTAAAAGGGTAAACTTCTTAATAACGGTCCTAAAGAGATGTTGAGGCTATGAGATGTTTTGCTGCTTTGAATATATTTTCTTAAATAAGAACAGCAATAGTCAAAAAATATATGTATTAGTCTGAGAAAATAAGTTATAAAGTAGTATTTAAATGCATGACAGGGCTTTAGGTGCTTTGCGATGTGTTAGAGTTGAAACTACTTACAAGTGTTAAAAAAAAAAGTAAAGGAACGTGAGATGTAAACATCTTATTAAATTTTTAATAAATTGTACTGTGGAAATTCCATATTTAACAAAAAAACAAGAATTTGCAGTAAATGCATTAGTTCAAAGTGAAATTTGACTCCCATATGTTTTTTGCCTATTTTGTAGGGAAAATAGTACACTGTTCAAGGTACAGTAAACAGTACTTGTGATTAATGATATCCTCCCCTACTGCTAAAAATTATATAAAGCAGTTTTACCAGTTGTGTGAACTTGCTCAGTTTATTGGTTTGTTTCTTTGTTTGATTTGTTTTGTTTCTTTGCTTTCAGTTGTTTTGTTTTTGTTTTTTTTTGGTTGGTTGGTTTAAGTTTTTTGATTTTATTTTCTTGTTCATCCTCAATGCTAAACATTTAATGTATTTTGTTGTTGTTTTGTGTACCTGGAACTGTACTGACCAATCTAACCTATTCTCTTTTCCCCCCCAAATACTAACGGTTACAGTGCAAACCCAATAAACTTCTCTTAAGGAAAGGAGAAATGTATGCCTCAAGACCTTCTGAACTGAGGAAATCTGCAAATGAAATCCTCTAAGAACAACTGTTTTGGATTTACACAGAGTATCCTTAGTCTACACTGTTCTGAAGTATGAGCGACCTGTCAAAAATCCTCTGTGGTTCTGGAACACTTTTCAGAATTCTAGACTTTTTGGCAATCCATATATATATATATATATATTCACACACACATATATATACATATATATATATACACACACACATATATATATACATATATATATATATATATACACTCTATTTCCTATATGTCATCTTCAGTGTTCATCTTAGGATATTATGCAAACCAGTTTGTTTTTGTTTTCTGATCATGAACATTTCTACTAATTTTATTGTGCTTTTCAGATTTTTTGCCATGTTATGTTATGGAGTTCTACCAAATGAAATATTTCAAAGTGCTACCTTTCATTTCTAACAGTGAATTTGCAGCCAGATAAAAGAGTATTATAGTTTAGCTGTTTTAGTGACAGAAATTGAGCTTACTTATTAGGTTTTGTGTCATAAGCAAACATGTAGTAAGTATGACTGAAAATAATTTTCCTCATGTTTTCTAATTTATCACAGCAGATTCTCGATCTCCTCCATCACAAGATTGTCCTAAATATATCTGGGGCAGAGGTATCCTACCCTTTCACTAAGGTTCATTACTCCAAAAAGATGTTCTTTTGTTTCTTTTTGCTCCCACACTTCCTATTTTGCATAACAGACTGAAACAATAAAATGAATCCTATCTCAAGATAGGATATTAGTAATCATCTATCATCTATATTAGTAATCATCTCTCAGACAGTATTTTGTAAAAATATATAATATAGTCTCATTTGCTTGTACCAAAATCTGAACATTAGGTGAGTTCACTGTATCTCTAAACACAGAAAAAGACCAATGCGTAAAATGTCAGTTTTCTAATTTTTCTGACTTCTACATTAGATATGCAAAAGAAGTAAATGTGCTGCAATCTAGAGGATGACCTCCAGGTTTAAATGAATAAATAAATATACAAATAATCTTTTCCAGGTTACTTTCCCAAGAATTTGTTTCAGACTGACTGCTAAATGATGCTAGGCATACACACTATATTATATTCCCACAGTGACCACTATTCCCCCAGGAATAATGTATTTTTTACATTCTTCACAATCTTCAACTAAGTTATATACAATGTAACAAAAAAAATGTAAATTGATTTATTTCTTAAATGGTTTTGATAAGAAAAGTTTTGTCAAAAGTGGACAGAGTTGTTTGACATAAAAAAAATAAAATCTTGTTTTGGATGAAGTACAGAGTTTCTTTCTTTGTTTCTTCTTCTTAAACAAACAAAAGCATTTCTGGCTTTGAAGTCTTTCTTCCTTTTGTCTCCTTCTCATATGTCCGGTGTTAAGGGGAACAAACCAAGGAGAATAAGCAGAAAAGCCAGAACCAAAAATGCTTTGGATTATCTTTTTTTTTTTTTTTTCCCCTTAATTCAAGGGAAATTCCATATTATATTTAAGAGTTCATTGTTTATAAGGTGCTTCCTACCAATGCCACAACTTCTGTTTGCAATTTGAACAAACTAATAACTTCTGATATTGAGAGCTTAGCATTGTTCATTCATTATATCATATATGAATCGAATATGCAGTAGCCTTTTAGACATCGTAAGACTGAAAAAGCACTTTTCAGAGATCTCTGGGCTTGTCAGCAGATAAGATTCAATTTGGTGTTTGAGTTCTAATTACCTGAGTTAATACCACAACAGTTTCCACATAGAATCCAGTCCTCAGACTGAAAGAAGGCACTCTACATCCCTGAGTTTCTATTCGGAAAAAGCAGAGTATAAGACCTGTCTACACTTCATTGATCTACTGGATGGCCACCAAATAATAATAAAAGTGATAATGATAATTAAAAAACATAAAAAATAAAAAATAAAAAAACAAGAAGTCATTTGATCAGCACTTAGCTGGTACTTAAGAAAACAAATCCTGAGAACATTCCCTGGGGAAAGCTGGAAGAGAAAAATCCAATGGGTAATGACTCCATCTACAGGAATCAAGAGGCAAAAAGGATCTTGCCATCCTTCTCATCCTCTTCTCGAAAAGGTAAACACAGTTTCTTCCACATTAGCTAATAACAACTTTCAATTAAGTTGAAAAAATCAACATGGGTTATGGTTGACAGCATAAAAGAAAAGCTTTTACATTATTCCTGATTAAGGAAAACAAAATCAGAACACTGTAGCCACAAGCTGTAAAACTTCCAGTCAAAAAGCCCAATTTAATGACTACGAAAACATTCATGATCTGTAGATGAAATTTCAATGAGATTCTCTGAATCTTCCACAGAATATTTCTTTCTATAAACATCAGGAGGAGAACACACCTTTACATGAAAAATACTGTCATTCAACAGGATTATTCTAATTTCCATATCATACAGCATAACATTTGCTACAAGTGTGTGATCTTGTAAATAACTATAGCCATGAAAACATTGCAATATAATGTGTTTATTTTTTGTTTTGTTTTGTTTTTTAAAGAGAGATTAACTGGCATTTTTATGATTATATATGGTCCAAACTTCAAAATTTTTACTAATAAAAAGTGAAATAAATGAAGTTTGAAAAAATAATTTTTAAATATTCACTTAATTGTGAAAATGCCTACAGTTACTTGTGTCTAATTCCTGATGGGAAGCATAAATGCAAAATTTTTGTTGAGAAAAAAGTGAATTTCAATCCTCTGCAAAATCCTCTAAGAATTTGTATGCCTACAGAAGAAAAGAAGAAAAAAACAACAAAAAAAAAAAAAAAAAAAACAAAAAAACAAACAAACAAACAAACAAAAAAAACACATTGCTAAGCTTAACCCAGTTGTTCTAGGAACTTAACCTGTTGAAGACCACCAGCAGACAGGGAGCAACAAGCAATCCGCAGAGATGCTTACACACAGATATGTTGCATACTTCAAACAATAAAGAGCATTAACAGGGAAATTTTGTATGACTGGACTCTTTTTGATTTGAAATCAACTATGTATGGCACACACAACAAGTCAACTGTCAAATTATTCCCCAAATTCTATTTTTAAAACAGTCAAGTCTTCAATACTTGAAGAATCTGCTTTGAGAAGACTTTTGAAAAAGCTGAGATTGTAATTAATTAAGAAGCAGATGCTTTAACAGATGTTTCACTAGTTACAGTCACATCTCATGACTTGTATTTTCCTAATCCAATGTAACATTAAACGTGCTGTGTTTTAACATAGTTGTAAATCTTATTCCCTCCCTACCATCTCTGCAGAGAGAATATTACATGCTATCAAATCAAAATGGTTCTGTTATTTGTAAATGGCTACACAAGTTGTAAATAGCAGAACATTAGACATCTTTTGTATAATCTACATATATATTTCTACAGTATTTTCCAAGTGTTTCTTATTTAATTCTAACTTAAATTTTAGCAAAACAGCAATAAGTTATTACCAGGAAACAAATATTTAGATACAACACTAAAAAACAGTCTAGTCATACATTGTGTTGTTTTCTTTTCCAATGAATAGGTATAATTTTGCTACCAACAATGAGCAGCCTTATTTGTAATCAGTGACTAAAATACTAGTAAAGTTGTGTTTAATTATGTCCCTTCTAATTTCTAGGACCAATGTTTAAAAGTGGAGAATGTGTGTGCCCACTCACTTGGTTGTAAAGGGCACAGATGTGCAGCGCCGTATTTCCTGATGCGTTCTGCGCACACATGTCTGCACCATAGAAGAGAAGGTGCTCCAGATGTTGGACATGTCCATACCGGCAAGCCTATGAAGAGATACATTAATATCTCTGTTATTATACAATCTGGCTGTATCAGGCAAGCATTCCATGCAAACATATTTTTTTTTATTATTTAATCAAAGAATATATTACTTTAATTTAGACCTAATTTTTAAAACCACCCCTGGACTGAACGGGAAGCCTACCAACCAGATCTGCATATCTGTCTATGAACTCAGATGCGTGCACTTCAGGCACAGCAAGTCTGTGCAAAAATTTAAGCATATGCTTAAGTACTTGGCGAACAGCAACGTAAATTATTAAGAAAATACAAAGATTGATATTTTTCTAATATATTCTTAGGCAGAATATATAAACAGAACTAATATTCCTAGCCAGTTAATCATGTTTAACAGTTGACAGAAAGTTTTTTGTCCTGGAAAATCTTTGGAAAGTTGTCCACTAGATGGCACTAAAGATGATCAGATTTCCAAAGCTTGATTTTAAGGTGTGAACACAGTTTAGGGAAATCTGGTCAAAAGAATTGAAATAATAATTTTCAAATTATATGATGTCACCAGATGTACGGTGTACACGAGGCAGTGATCCAAAAGAAGGAAAATCTTCAAATGTTACTTTCACTCACACAGATAGAATGTTAAACCCTGAACAGTTGTAAATAAACAGAATGAAACTCTGCTGAAATTTGAAATTTTCCTGATTTGCAAATAAGTTTGAGAAAAATCACATTCTTTCAATTCATAAGTCTCAATTACTTTACTCCTTTCTTCTCTGTAGCACACCAACTGAGCATCTCCCCAGTTCATAATACTTTTACCTTGACATCATCTCAGATCAGTATCACTCCTATAATATCTGGATTCCTATTCCTATAATAATATGGAATTTAAACTGAAAGATACAGATATACAAAGCCATTCACCCTGTCTTAAGTACCTAATTACTACTGACTTCAGTGGGAATTATATCACCTCACCTTGCAATTTGGATCAGAAGTGTTAGTGTACTGCTCAATGCACAAATTAAATGTGACACATCTGGGATTGAACTGGATTTCCCAAATCCCAGACTAGTACCCTAACCACTACATCTTTTCTTTCTCTAAATTTAAATTGCAAGAGACAGAAAAACAAAACAAAACACAGAAAAACGGTGATTATTAATTTATTCATTTACAAGTTATATGCAAAAACTAATGGAAACATCATGGCAGCTGATGGTAGAACAGGAATATTTTAAGGCAATAGAAACAAAGCATCTGAAAATAAGCAAATTGGAGAAACAGAATCAAACCATAGCTGTGTTTCTGAATGGGGGTTTGAATAGAGCAAATGTACAATGAGACATAAATGATCATTTCAGTCCAATTTCTAAAAGTCAATCAACAGCTAGATATGAATGTGCAGGTGTTCAACTTTCTATTCTTCCTACAATAAGCTGAACTAAAACCAGGCCTTTCCCCCACTTTTTTTTCCTTGCTACAGTTGGGTTTAACCTTCTCTTCCTCTGGCAATCTGACAGCAATGCTTTATTCAGCTTATTGGGAGGCTCTGGAAGACAATTTACACAAGGGATATATATTTCCCCTAGGTATACATGCTAGGAAAGCTGTCCAGACCATTCAGACCATTTGTCAGGGCTCCCCATCATGGTCAATGGAGAGAGACTGGTATTTCCAAGAAAGAAGAAAGTATATCTGACAAACACACAAGAAGTATTACCAGGGAAATTAACATTTAGCAAGTAACAAAAAGATTGAGATAGCCTTTTTATTATTTTTTTTTATTTTTTTAATAAATTGCCACTAAAAGGATGCTAAACTTCAAACTTCCAAGATTCCATTGGCTAAATATGATTAGCACCCAGCTGCAGTAGCAATTTCTGCAGCAAAATCCACAGTAACCATAGGACTAAAAAGTTAAAAAATACTCTATTGGGGCAGCTTACACTTCTAACTGACCATAGCAGGATGCAAAGCAATATGCAAACAGAAGAAGGAAATAACTCCATACTTGTATGTACAAGGACTAAACATATACAAATGGCATTCAAAACACTGTTTAATCATAAAACATACATGGTGCACATCTCCTGGTACTATTTGAACTCTAACCAAAAAGTATTCTTATCTACCTGATGAATTTCTTGCCATCCGTTTTCATCTTTGCAGCTAACTGTAGCGTGTTCATGAAGTAGCAGTTCACAGCAGTAAGGATCCCCTCCCACCACAGCAGTGTGGTACAGAGGTGTCAGGCCACAGCTGTCTTTGTAGTTAGGAGATGCTCCAAGCTCTAAAAGAGTCTGAAAGCAACCACAACCTGTTAAAACTATCATTTGGAGGGACTTGTAAGTGAAAAGAGACTTTTCTACCTTTTTCTAAAATAATTACAAGGTTGATATTTGCCATAATGTGTATTTGTTGCTCACTTATTTACAAGCTGAAACTTGTAAACAAGCTGCAACACAGAGTAAGCTGAGGAAGGAATGACCCCAGAAGAATAAGGACCTCAAGGTGCCTACAGGGACAGCAAGGAAAGGGTGAGTGACAATGTCCTATTTCCATCTTTCCTTCAATTTCAGAACTGGCACTCTGAAAATGTCGCATTGCCTTTGAAACACATTTACCTCTTCAGTTACAGGATGCTTTATCAAAAATGTCATGCAATTTCAATATCTGTCAAAAGGCAATAAGCAATGCCATAAACATAAGATTTAATCTAGCATATCAAAGTGATTTAAGAATACCTGTTAAAATATGAAAGAAAACAGAAAAGACTATGTTAAGATACAATGTGTAATCTGTATCATTGGCATTTACTTTCAGAGATAAGCAGCAATAATACTATTCCTATTTCCTCAAGCAGCTATTTCCCAATCTATCAGTGAATGAAGTTGAATTTCATCACTACCCAAAAATCACAAGTAAAAAGGCCCTTTATTGAAAGCAAATCCTAAGATTTTAAAACCACTAGAAAGCACTGGAACAAATATGTATTAAAAGATCCATTGGGGGCAATACAGTAATTAACTGAATGCATTTTCCTTTATGTATTTTTCTGGACAAAGTAAGGTGTAATTTGCTACTAAAAGCATTTACCTTGAGGGTTACTTGGTTCTTGGCTCTGGCTGCTTTGTGCAGAGCTGTCATTCCATCTTTGGCTCTGAAGTCTAAATGTGCTCCTCCATTTTTGAGAGCTTTTATCACTTCTACTGTATTGTCAAGCTGAACTGCCAAAGTTAGTGGTGTTTCTGAAGAATAAAATAGTATACACATGAAAAAAGATGACCAAGTTTACAAAATAAAGAACATCTGCTTTACAAACTTTAAAAATGTGAAGTTAAAAGTACTAATTAAAGAAAATCATAAATTATCAATTTCCTTCTTTGGACAGTAAAACCATACAGATTCCATTAGCCTAGAGTTATGAACGCAACAGAAAGAATGCATGAGATTTAACCTGTTAATCAGTTTAGGCTGAGCAACCCCATCGTACTACGCTATGCTGCTACTTTTATTGTTCTGACCTCCACTTTCTAGGTCATGATAGTTGGGGTCCAGTCCTCGGTCCAACATTTTTGTGATTTTTTCCACTGAGAGGTGGTGGACATGATCCATAAATTTTCTCAAATTAGCCTGAAACAAAGCGTGACAAATTAATCATCCTCTGATTGTAAAAGGAAATTTTTGACTAAAAGTGAAATATTCTGTCACTATTTATCCATTGATACCATGGAACAAATTCACATTCCTGGAGAACCCAACTTTATGCTGTGAGCATACACCACACAGTTTGTAAAGTTTAGAAGTCAAACACAATGAGAGGATTCTGTTGTTCATAGTTTTAAGGAAAAAGTGAATGAAAGATTCTTTAAGCAGGAAATTAGGATAACATAAGGTGATCATTATTATTCTGACCTGCAAATGAGTCTAAAGACATAGATCAGCATTTCTGCAGCATGCTGAAAGCATGTTGTATTTACATAATAAGATTCATTCGATACTACTTGTACACCTACATGAGAGTCAAATATGGGATTTTTTCTATAAGCAAAAATCCCAGATCACAATTCACACATCTCTGTTGGCACTACAAACACATACTACTTGTTGTTTGGTAATTGGACCAGGTGGTAATGAACTCCTACAGTTTCTCAGACACATTACCTTTCTAAGAACACAATTGTTCGCTTCCCCAGTAAACTGGGCATACCTTTGTGTGAAGCTTGGCCAGTTGTTTTTCATCAAGATTGAACTGTTTGTATACTCTTTTCTTGTATCGAAACTGAGAGGAAACAAGCAAACAAAAATTTAAAATATCCCTTTTTGCTTAAAAAATAATAACAAGAATATTTCTGACCTTACCAGGAAGTATCCATGATGATGTAGATTTTGGAAAATTTAAAAAAAAATAAAGGCTTAGTATTTCATTTTGAATATTCACCAATAATCAGCCCAATAATCAGCTTAACTTAGTGTCATTATGGCCATACAGTTCATGTACGGAAAACTACTATCTTGTATAAATATACTGAAATGAGTGGAGTTACATGGGAAATAAGATCAGCCTCTAGAATCTACGTAAATAAGCAAGAATTACAGGGAAAAAAGCTTTCTCCCTAAAGGCATCTGTGCATTTCATTTATAGCCTTAGATAGAAAGAAGACCTGGGAAGGCATGTTAAATAACAAAATAAGTATTTCAAAATAGCACCATAACACTTCTGAAACTTAAATTAACAAAAAAGATTCCTGAAAAATCCCTTAAACAGCATAGGCAGCACTTACACATGGGAATAGTTTTCCTGATGCTTAACAGAACTGGTCCTGTGAATTAGGTTCATAGGATTGTCTCTTTTGACTGAAACTCAATCACTGTGAGCAGTTTGATGCCCGTTGGCTAGAGTAGACAGATCTACAGCCAAAATCATGTTTACATAATTATAATTTCCTATTATTTCATCATAATACGCACATTTCAAAAAGAATGCAGCATATTTGTTGGGCAAGGAGACTATATGGTAGGTGGCTGTAATAACAGCTTTTAAATAAGATCACTTTTAACCCATTTATTGCAAACCTTTAGCTGTCGCTAGAAGAATTTTGTAGAGTTAACACTCAGGAAATGGAACACTAACAAATATGACAAAATGATAAAATAATGCAGTTATTTATTTTGCTTATGGCTATAATATGAATATGATTGGCTCTCAGAAATAAACTGCTGGAAAAGCCAGGACTCAGAACTCTCTCTGGACCCTGGTTCTTCTTTCCTATGTTTGTGTTGTAGTGGGGTGTCTGTTAATTACGGATTACTACTGGGTGATGTACCACCATACAAGCAATATCAAAATTAATTAAATGCCAGTTCTGTGCCCAGCTTCCTGCTGTACAGTGTGACCTGGCTCTGCTCTCTGCTTGCCCAGTGCCATAGTAGTTCTGCCCTGTTTAACGCTGAGCTGCGCAGCCCCTGTATGAGCAATGGAGAGGAGAACAGGTGACTGCTTCACACAAACTCACTCTCCTCAGGCTTCATTGAGACAAAAATACCCTCCTTTGGAAGGAGACAAAGGGTTATTATTCATCTACTGCTACTCTACCAGCACTTTTGGGAGCAAGGGTTCAAGTTCAGACTTGCTGATCACTGTTTCTAAACACAATTCTACTGCATGTAGAAACCTCAATTACAGTTTACAGTATCAGAAGAATACAATGATATTTCAGATTTTTGATATAAAGAAATACCTCTAGGGAAGGAACTCCTTTATTCACTGGCTGTGGGTATTCCCTAAGAAGTCGTTCCTCATCCAAAAACTTCCCATCTCTACCATTGCTTGCAGGCTGGAACAGTCCATAATTCAGGACATCTTTCAAACTCTGATTCAAAGTGCACAAAATTCGTTGCTTTGCAACCCACACTGAAGCTTCTGGGTTAAATCTAATGCATTTCTGCAAAGAGAAATGGTAAGAAATGATAAAGGAAATCTAAATGATGAGAAAACATTCGAACACTATCTTATATTCTAAAATTCACAAGCGTTGCATATATATAAAATAAATCTATACAGGCCATGACAAAGCATACATCAACAGGATTATATTGCAGATGCTCCTCCCTCTGTAACAGCTAATGTACAAGCATTGTGAAAACCCAGGACATTTCATGTCCCACCACAAAGATCAGAGACCACTTCCTTTTTCAGAGAAAGGATGCCTTCAAGGCAAATGTGTAGGAAAAGCCAAGTGTAAGAAGGGATGTTACAAGATATTTAACCATCCACTTGATCCTAACCTGATGTTCTGATGACCAGTCAGATATGCAAGAGTTTCACACACACACACACACACACACACAAAAAGAGAGTATTCAGGCTAGAAATCTGATTTGTTTTAAGCTATGTTTATCTTGGGGCAAGCTTATGACAGGAACTATCTCATAAGTGATGTGAGGCAGCAGAGGATTTGAAAACCTCAAAAGAGCCTTTTCAGTTCTCTGATACTTACCAAGTTGGAATTCAGGAATTTAAGAAGTTAAGAAATTTCACAGAACCAAAGAATATCCTGAGTTGGAAAGGACCCACAAGGATTATCTATTCCAACTGCTGGATTTAATAACTGCTGCCAATTTACTTTATTTGCTTCCAAATTCATTGCAATGTGCTACAGAGATGTTTTGACCTAGGAAATAGCAGATAGCTTTAATAATTTATGGTCTTATATATAAAAATGTAATCAAGTGAGATAATAGATTTTGTCATGAATAAAGGTGTCTAGGAAACATTTTTTGTTCTGCTTATATTTAAGTTTCATGGTGTTTTGTGATTTTTTTTATTTTGTTCTTTTGTTTTGCTTTAAATGGAGATATGAAGGAAAGAGGGAGGCAGAAGTAAGATACAAGCAGTCTTGGATTGGTATTAGACTGCTTTAACAATACAAAACACTAACTTCCGATTGCAATTTAAGTCTGATTTTTTTTTTCAGCAACTTGTGAATTCCATATGCTTCCTTTCATTCAATCTGTGCTTGTGGTCTATCTGTTCTTGATTATGTGCAAACATTGTAGATAATGATGGGTATTTCTAATTCTCAAAGACTTGTTAAACTGGCAAAATAAAAATAATTTCATATTTCTTCAGAGCATATTCCAAAATAAAATAAATCTTTCTATAGTGCTTATTCACATTGCACAACAATGCACAATATTTATCTTCAAATACTTCACTTTCCACATGTCTGACATTACCCTGCACATCTAATGCATGAGGACAGGTGATAAGAGCTTAACCACCTGCACTGAGCAGAAACTGCAGTGAGGAATTCTTTTTGTGCAGTAGCTAAAAGGCTTATTTTAAAATGGGTTATTTGATACATGCATCACCATTACATTTCTACCACATTGGCTACAATATTTTATAAAATCCTCAATGGAAGAATAAATGTGGAAACACTTTGAAACTAATAATTTCACAAATTCACTTATTCACAGCCTAGCCTTTCTACCAATTCACAAGAAACACAAATGTGCTTATTTTAATCAATGTTGATGCCTTTGTGTGGAGCAGTTGTTCACCTTCTGCCATATTGCCTACCTTGAGAGGACCTCAGCTGCATCAAGGCAGAACCTAGGCATAGGTTGCATTAGTTAAGAAGATGCAAGAATCCATTAGGTGCAAATAATTCTGCATCTAATTTTCATATTTGCATTCTTAACACCACAGGGGTGAAGCACCGGGGTGTGCTGAACCACCTCGGATCCCCTCTGCACATTTTGCAAAAACGAATTTTAAAAAAGGAAACACAAGAACAGAAAAGCAGAGACTTGGGCACCAGACAGTCTTCTTATGCCTCCACAACAGGGGCACACATATAATAACAGTATTTTTCTCTAAATCTCAAAGCCCTTATTCGGACATGAAGCTAGTGGAAAAATTGAAAAAAGACGTAGAAAACAACAACAAAAACCTTATTTCATATAGAGAAATATCATTTTGTGTCAAACTCTGTAATCAAGGTTCCCACCTATGAAAGCAAAGGGATGCCAAAGAAAATTCCAGTTTACGCAATAAAACTCCATAATTCTGTTTAACGGGACAATGTAAGGAAGAATTTGCATAGGGTATTCTACCTGTAAATATCTTGTACGTGTGGTACCTTCTTTCACAATGTACTACCCGCTTCAGTGATGTGATATGTTATCTTTTCAATTTGCAGTCAGAAAGTTATAATCCACATTTTAAGATCCCTTACATAAAAATAATAATAAATTAAAAATAATAAAAATATCAGACAGAATTTCCCATCAAGTTTCCCATGTAGAGGCATTCCTCAGATTCTGCCATATCTGTATTTAGGGACAGAAAGCAGCTTCTTAAATATTCTATAGAATATTTTAGACTGCAGAAGACTGACAAAATTCTGCCCTTGTTTTCATACTTAAAATGCCAGAAACTTTCCTACCTTTGATAAAATAAATAAATGGACCGCCAAACATACCACTGTCCTCCATACTTTATCTCACAAAATATTATTTAAAAACCTGACTTTTTCATTGGTAATGAAAAGCTACCCCTTTAATATAGCCAACTTGTTACACACAAATGCATACTTTGATTATTTGATTGGTTTAACACTACTAAACTGCTCAAATTTGGGCACAATACAGAAAGCAATAAGCCCTTGCCCAAAGAGCAAAGAGTTTGTAATCTTTTTTTTTTTTTTTTTTTTTTTTACAGATTAGTCTGTTAAATCTGTGATATGGTTATTTTTACAGCCTAATCTGATCAAAATGCCCTTCTTGTACTTGCAAGTAGAGATGGAAAGTTGCAATAGAGACATGATAGATTGTGTCTCAGCATTCAAAGTTACTGAAATTACTATCAACTTTGCCATAGGCTTTGAGCTCCTCACTTGGGCTGTAGGACCTGATTTTGGCAAGATTAAAGGACCAATACTTATTGAAAATTATGCTTGTAAAGAACTTCCATAGAACGGAAACATCACCCCTATAACTAAGGAGACATACACAGCTAAAAAGGATTTAAGATTATCATTCTGGGGTATAAGTTGGACTAAAAAACAAAACAAGGGAAAAAAAAAAAAAGGAAAGAGAGAGAGAAAGAGAGAGAGAAAGAGAGAGAGAAAGAGAGAGAGAAAGAGAGAGAGAAAGAGAGAGAGAAAGAGAGAGAGAAAGAGAGAGAGAAAGAGAGAGAGAAAGAGAGAGAGAAGGAGCCTTCTGAATCTTGCTAAACAATCTTCTTTGGGTTACAAGATTTGAAGTTAGGGAATTTGGAGCTACCACAAGTGGAAGCAGACAGAGCTATGGGATGCCAACAGCAGAGTGCCTGCAGCCATGTACAGCAGCAGCTCACCTGATGAAGGCTTTATGCAGAGGGGAATAGACAAAACAGATTGGAGGGGTGCCAGACCACACACAGCAGAAAGCATTTTACAGCACATCAAACCTTCATAAGACTCACACCTAAGTAATCTGCACATAATGAACAACTGTGCAAACGCAGCCACCAAAGGTATGTTCATAAGAGGAGAGGATTCTTTGCCTTTATCACATAAACAGATAATCAGCACTGGACTGGGAACGAGCCCAAAATCCATACAGAAAACTACTATCAATAATAATGCATCAACATGCACTGTCAATAACAGGATATCACGAAATCTGATGTCAGCAAACTGGGATTTACTGCCTGCTTGAGGAAATTGAGCAGTTCAGCAGGCAGGCTGAGGAATGCTTTCCATCCACTGCACTGAAACATACTGTTGGTTCTTCCAGTTTTAGGTAAAAACAAGCTATAGTTCAAAAGAACATAAAGCCTCAAAAAGTACCAGGCAGGCACTAAGACTTTGGATTACTTTTCTCTTGTGTCCACCTGTTTAAAGAAAGGAGAATTTAAAAAGCCTAGTACCAAAGTTTAATTTCATGGCAGAAGTCAAACTTGTGTTCTGATCGGCTTCCAGGTCATTCTGGGGTAACAGTTGCTGGCAGCCTATCTGACATAAATCTACAGATTCTGGGATACTGCCTTCTTTCTTCAGATTCATTTGTTTGGCAGAGCAGCAAAACATGAGGCTCTGGGAGAGACTGCCCTCTTGTTGAGCACAACTTCATAACTGTGGTGACCATGAGAAAATAAGACAGCAGCTAAATCTAAAAAAGCCAGAAGAATTTTTCTAGCAGGATACCTTCAATGACTTTTTAATAACAAAAAATAAATTTAAAAATAAATTTAAAAACAAATAACAACAATAAAAACAGAAAATGGGGACAAGTTTTGTGGCAAAGAACTACAGAAATACATAAAAAACAGATATTTTGATATGAAAGATGTGGGATATATTCATGCCAACTTTTTGTTGCATCCCAAGACCAGAATGCTGTCTACATAAAATTACAACAGACCTATTCAAAGGGAAAAGGAAAGGGGAAAGGGAAAACAAAGGGGAAAGGAAAGGTAACAGGGAAAAGGGGGAAAAGGGAAAGAGCCCTGAGTGACTCAAAAACACTGTAAAAATCAGACTGGGCCACTAGAAATCCTAGTCTAGCAGCAAGTCAGCATGGCAGCATCAGCTGATGAAATGTGAGATCTGCATTTGTAACATTAAGGCTCTTCGGATCATGAGAGACGTGGTCAATTATAGTCTTATACATCTACATGCTGGTAGAGGAAGTTGCAAGTGTAACAGCAGAACAGGGAACAAGGGAATCATATAGCTCACCCATGCCAGCTAAAGGGAAGCTATTAATTCAATGGGAATAATGTTCATGATACAGAATCTCTGAGGAATAACATTTATCCCTTCAAAGTCAATCAACCAACACTTCTTTATCATCAGACTCATGTGGATGTCAATCACTCAGAACTGCGCTGCGACAGAGGAACACTGACAAAAGGTTTGTACAGCTGCCTCCAAAATGTGATTGTCAGATTATCAAAATACAAGTTATTCCTTTGGATAGAAGACATCACTATTAAAGATGCGACAAACAAAAAGCGGAAAATGCAAATGAGAGTTGGGTATCTCAAAAAAAAAAGAAAGAAAAGAGAAGAAAAGAAAAATAGAAAAGGAAAAAAAAAAAAAAAAGACACCCTCATTTTAATTTATGCCTAGTATTCAACTTAATCCCTTGACACACTGCATTGCTTCCTCAAAATGAATTCAGAAAGCACAGAATTCATGAGGTGAAAGGTCATCGAGAAAAAAACCTGACCACATTGCCGCCAGGTGGCAGATCACCTGCTCTCATCCAGGGCATAAGTATAGATCTTGGCAGCACCCACAGTGTTTCCATCATCAAAACAGAACAAAAACAAAACAAAAAAAAAGGAATATCTGCTATAAACAGAAAATAACAATAAGCAATCATTCACAAAATGGGGTACAGAATATCCGTGAAAGTTGCAAAAGAAACCCTGCAATGGATCTGAGGCAGTGGACAGCAGAAAGATAGGAAACAAAAAAGGGTCTTCTTAAGAAGGAAAAAAAAAAAACTCAAGCTGCAGACATGACAATTGTGTTCCTACCTTCATAAAATAAAAGTTAAACAAACTAAACAAGTGCTTTATCCAGGAAATAAAACTACTGAAGGGAAGATTCTTAATAAATGCTGAAAAAAGTAATGTATAAGGAAGGATACAAATGTATAAAAAGCAATGCAGAATAGGAAAACCAAAAAGCAGTTACAACTTAAAGTGTTGCTGTACCAAGCTGCCACTTACCAAACAATGTTTTGTGAGAAGATTCCAATATTAAAAAAAAAAAAAAAAAAAAAAAAAAGAAAATGGGGAGGGGAAAGTTTTGCTTATTACTGAAGTGGAACAGCAAAACAGATGGGCAGAAAGCATTTCAAAGAAGTTCTCAACAGACCCAATCCCTTCTCAACATCAGAAATTAATAAAACATTTGAATCTGAGCATTCTGATTTTAAACATAACCCAGAGGGAGCACATAAGCATAGGATAAAACAGAAGAGCAGAACAACCACCATATGTTGATAGCAAAACAATAAAAACATTCCTACAAACAACTGGCTGACAGATCTCTTCTTTAAGTCGGGGATAAAGAGCAATTCTGAACACAAAACATTTGACATCACCGGTGGAGCACCATGCAGAGCTTTTCTTGACAAGAGCAACAGGAGAAGAACCAGACTGCTTCCAGTTAGAGGCAAAACCTCTTACAACGTATTACTGCATGGGCTGATAGAGGAAATGGATACAAGACTTATCCTCAATTCAGGTAAGATCCAGGGAGAGGTCAGATATGCCATCTATCATAAAGGAAAACACAGGAGCATCAGCTCGCTAGTTTTCCATATCCAACAGTCATTCAATGGCATATGCGGATACAGTTGCCTTTGGGCATGAGGGAGGTAGTTGGGATAGTTTCAAGCCCAGGTGAAGTATTCGATCCTACCCATCTGAATCCTTGCACTAATGGAGAGGCCACTCTGGCCAGGAGAGGAGGAACACCCAGTTACCATGATTCCCATCGTAACAGCAAGAAGTAGGGGTCACTGTGAAGCCACCCGGAGCCCTCTGTGCTGGACGCACTACAAATAAGCTACTGCTCAAAAGATTACACCTGTGTCTTATTCCATAACGGGGCTATTAAAGCTGAGCCTCCTGGTTTATTAAATCAGGAAATCAAATGCTGTGTGATGCAGCTTTTTTGCTCACTCTCCTAAGCACATATGTTTGTGAATATGGAGGGCTTTTTATGTGCTCTATTCCCTCAGTCGTTTTGGTGAATCAGGAAATCTTTTAATCACTCATTTAAATATTCTCCTTGCTCCTGTGCTAAGGATGACACTTAGTTGAACACAGATGATGAACAAAAGCAGAAAAAAAATATTCTTTCTACAAAGTATTGTTTCAACACATTGTATTACCATCTGAATTGAAAAGGAGACAAAAAGAGAATTGATGAAATAACTGAAAAATAAGTCTTCATAAGAGCTTGTTGAGGTTTGAAATATCTTTAAAGTTTCAGATGAGAATAAGAGGGCAGTAAGATACATTTCCTACAATGGGTGATAATTTATAGTTTTCTATAGCAGAACATCCTACTTATTATGCTTGGTGATTATCTTATATTTGCAATGAATTAAAGGTGATTTACACCACCATCACTGCAGAGGAGCAAACTTTTATCCCTAGTGAGTTCAGCTAGGGATTTAAACCCGCCAAGTGAGTTCAACTTTATCTAAAGCCCTATACTTACCTTCCTTTAAAAGAATACATTCTCGGTGAGACTTCCTAAAAACTAATAAAGAATGAAAATATAAAACTAAATAATGCAATTTCATGCTTCTTTGATTAAACAGCATAATTTCAAATAACTTTTATAGTAAATTAATTGTGATTACACAGCAAATGGGGTGCATGTTGGGTTTGGCTTGTGTTATAACACAGCTCACAAACCTATCTTTACTGAGCTGTGCTACACTGCATTTAAGCTACTCATTTGTAAAACTAAATCCAGATTTCACTTTTTTGAACAAGAGCTTGTGGGCTGATAAATCAGACATAGATCATCTGCTATAGGATTATTTAAAACAACTGAGTTACTTTTCATTAATACTTTACTGAAAATCAAAAAACAAACAAACACATACACACAAAAAAAAAAAAAAAAAAAAAAAAAAAAAAAACACTGAAAAATAAAGCAATAAAAATGAACAAATGAAGCAGGAAACCTAAAATGCATTTTATTTCATTTCCTGCACAAAATGAATTTAAACAAAAATAATTGTTTCAACAGCGTCAATAAGTAAATGATTATTGGTCTAAGAAACAGAATAATGAAATGAGAGGACTTCAGGCGGCTAACATCTCTTTGATTTTAACAGCAGAGAGAAGTCAGCAAGTAAAGCTGATCTTTCTGTTTATACTGAATCTATTCATTGAGCACTGATCATAATCAAAGATAGAGCAGACCGCTAGGATCATTGACAGAGGACTTCATTACAGGGAAAATCTTTTTAAAATTTAAGATGCACAATAATGGATTTCAATATTTCAATCAACACTGAAATGAAAGATCCAAGGTAATGACTGCTTCAGCCAAGATTTAATAAGGATGCCATGGGTGGTTCCCAGCAACCACAGTGCTGCTCTTCCCTCAAAAGCCTTCCCATCAGTTTAGGTCCCACACCACCTTTTCTTCACAGATTTTAATCTCGTACAATTTCAACTATTAGAGTGGAACTGTAATTTCAGCAGAAACAGGTTCAAACCTTAAGTAAAAAATAAAACATTAAATGCAAGAATTGAAGAGGCAATGTTGCCAACTCCAGCACAGGTTTTTCTCAATTTCAGCAGCACTGTGGGGATTGAGATTTAAAAAGGGAGCTCTACAATCACACCTAAGGCCACTGTCAAAACATCTCTTTCCTGTCAGCCTGTAGACAGGCCATCTCTATCATTCCAAAAATGAACTTAATTAAAAAGAAAGAAGTAATTTCATGTTAGATAAATCTTCACTGGCAGCACAGAATGATGTAGATCTTAAATGTCAGCATGGAGTGATGTATGTAACAGACATCCATGAAAAGGATGTGGTTTTTATAATCATCTTTGAAATAATAATAATAAAAAAAAAAGTCTGATGTCTACCATGAACTAAAAATCCAAACAGCATTCAGGAAGGCCCAGGATAATTTAGATAATCAATCACAAACTTAGACAAGTTGTGGTTCTAGAGGGAATCAGCAACTCCCAAGACCTTCTCTAGGATGCAATTGCTATTCCATTTGTAGCATTTCTGGAGGACAATGATTCTTTTACTTAAAAAATAACAACAGCAAACTGTTGCAGATTTATTTTCCTAACTTTCCATGTCCTGAACCTCACATATTCTACCATAAAGGAAACACAACTTAGTAGTTTGTTACCAGAAAGAGCAAGGAATTTGGACTGTAGATTTTTAATATCTAAGGAACATCCACAATGTATTTTTTGATTGAAATATCATTTTTATCATCAAATTAATCATATAATTTTAAACAAATGGAAATTCTGCTTAATGTCTCTTTCAGTAAGACTTAAGAGATTAAATCTTTTATTGAAAATTCTATTTTCATCCAATAGACTAAGGGATGTGGGACATAGCCATAGGTTTAGGACATTTGCAAGTTAACTTTACTGACTCCTCTCGGAAAAATCAAAAAAGGTTCATTTTACCATTTTTGTTATGTATCCAATATAAGTGGTGAAGAGGTGAGAAAGAATAAAACAGTAATTTCATGTCACTGTAAAACCTTCCTCCAAGTTTCCTGATTTCTCCAGGTGGAAGGCTGAAAAACAGCACTGCACAATAAAGGCATAGCAGCATAGGAGGAAGGGAAGATTTATTTTGGTGTCTCTTTCCTTATCTTTATGCTCTGAATATCTTCGGCTTTCTAAGAAGGCTATTTTTTCATGAGAAGACAACAAAAAGGTGACTAAAGAGAGATCAATGACCTCCTGCCAAACCCCAATTTAGTGTAATCACAAACTATCTCACAAATAGAAAAACAAGAAGACAGTGGGGTTACCTATATGTGAGGTTTTTCTAGAGATGATGTGATTTTTGGTTTCAACCCTCATCTTCTGGTAAGATTTTTAGATCCAAAATTCTCCTTACTCTACTCAGTCATGCAAACAAGGGTTTAACTTTATGGTCATGGCTTTCATCAAGTTAACATGCTAAATACACTCCCTTGCTTGGGATGGTCCCTTATTTTAGGCAATCCATTGGACATACCACCCCTGTAAGAAAATTAGATGTGAAAGAAAACGGGACATAAATTTTGACTGATCTATTAAAAAATACAAGAAAATAAAACAGATCTACTCTGGACTGAAAACAGCAAAGTAAATAATTTTAAAACTTTTTAAAAATGGTCATGTAAAATCCCTTACTGTTTGCTGTAGATCAGGTATTATAATTCGAATCACTAGAGTGTTGCTCTGACTGTCGTCCATTCTGCTGCTTGGCTTTTCTGCGGTTGCTCTAATTGTGTCATAAATAGTTTCTTCTTTGGAGCTGTCTGATTCAGATTCAACAGAATAGTCGGAAAAGCTTTGTGCCATTTCATCTTCGCTTGATGTTGGGCTACGAGGCATGTTCAAGCTTTTTATCCTGCCAATACAAAGCAGAAAGAGAAAAAAACATATATGGATAAAGTCTTAAAAACAAATCAGCTGCAAGGTTTGTTTTCCTAGAAGTAATACACATTTCAGCAGTGAAGTCATAGGTTTCATCTTCTTTTTATTTCCTCCTGTAATTTATAGGGGTAGGCACAGTGCAACGGAAATAAATCTAGCTACCAGTTTACTACTAAAGAGGAAAAGGGGTAGGAGAAAGAGAAAAGAGAAATGAAAGAGAAAACGACCTTTCTTCCAGGCACTCTTGGCTTTCCAAAAGATCCAGAGAAACCCTGCACCATCACCAAGTTCTCTGTTAAACAGAAGTGTTGTAAACTGTAATTCCAGATACAGGTCAGCTAGACCTGACCTCAAAGCGTATTTCTCCCAGTGTAACAAGACATTTCAATAAATTAATATAGCTGCTAAACTAACATCATCATTGAGACCTAACTATAATTGAGAAACTGTATAGGTTTCAATGAAAGAAATAAAATATTTTTTAAAAATTTATTTTTTATCTCTTCAATAAAAGACAGTATTTGCAAATAACAGAATCAACCAAAAATGAAATCCTATAGGGAGCTAGACAGATACAGATTCTTCTTTGTGGTCTCTGGCTTGTATAACACCCTTTATTATCTACACTACCAAAATCTTTCTATTATACGTATTTAAATAGAGAGTTTAGTAATACCTTTTAATCTGTGGTATAGATTAGGCTAAAGTAAGGATATTTGCATTCAGATTGCATAACCTAAGAGCTCAAAGTAAGAACAGCAAAAAATTTTCCTTCTGGGGTTTACCAACTACAACAGCAATAGACCTTTTTTGTCCCACAAACTCAAAGCTTCTCCTGGAAATGAAAATTATTACTCTGTGGAACAATGAGGGAAAATTTATACTGGAAAGAAATGGAAAGATCATCATAAACTTTGCAGTGCTTGACAAGCACATACTTTTTCAGTTTTCAGAGGCAAGAAAAATGTAAACATTATTTTTCACATTTTCCATACGAAACTTTCCAATAGAACTTCTCTGCTTTTTAATAAAGAAAAATTCCACAGTTAAAAGAAAAAATACCAACCAGTTCCACTGTTGGCCCCCATTAAAGTGACATTAAAGCAGAAGAGAAAACTGACTTTGCCAAGGTCACTCACATGCCAGGTCATTGTACCAAGATATCCAAACATACGCTTTGTACAATGGTCTCACAGTGAGATCCCCAAAAGTAAATAGAGTCAAACAGCAGCAGGGACTAGGAGAACACTTCGTACCACTGTGTCTCACTGTTCAGTTTGAGTCAACTAAATATCATAACCATGTTACTCATTTCTCTTCAATGACCGGTCATTTATACTGATATGCTTACAAAGCAGGCATCAAAGACAACTTCTAATTCAGCAAATTCTAATTTTAAGGTGTCCCTATGCCAGTGCCTGCACCGGAGCACAGGCAGTGGCAAGGCAAGCATCGAGCTTGAGGTCAAAGTCAAGCATTTCCAAAGCACATCACATACCCACATCATCAAGTAGTATTGTTATTTCTGGTGAAGGACAATTCCAGTATTATTACCCTCAGCTGTAATTACTAATGAAGACAAAAACAATGCATTCAAAAATCTGAAAGCATGCCAGTACACAGCAGCTTCATGCAAGGCTCTATTTACAAAAGAAAACTCTTGAGGGAATATTTCATCATCTTACTGCTTCACTGAACTGTAGATTAATGCTGCTCTCCAAAGCACCTTAAGTCAATAAACAGCCTAAACATCTCAATGGCTTCCTTATTCATCTGCCAATGCTGAATCACATGAAACCAAAATATAGTAGGTTGATACACAGTATTTTAAGAGCATAAGACATATAGGCCAGTGAGCGCAAGAAAAAAGACACAAAGAACATCCCACAGTTTGTCTCTCCCTAAAGCCATCTGAGAGCATAATATATTCCAGGGCAATGGCTTCAACAACTCTAACAGAGAGCAGTAAACTGCAATTATACAGCATAGAAATAGAGAGCTGAATTTGGAAAAAATAAAAATAAAATAAAAAAAAAATCCCAAAGCTTTGGCAAGTGGATTTTCATGCAAGAACTACATGGAAATATCTCATGTTGTAATAACAAAGGGAAATTACCAGCTGAAGAACCATCTCCCATATACCATGCACTTAAGTTGAATAGAACTTCTTGGAAAAGTATCAGCAATGTGTAAGGCACTTAATTTTCTACAATATAGACCAAAAAAAATGCACAAGTAACCACAGAAAGGATAATGAAAGACTATCTACAACAGCAAAAAGAGCAGAATTTATGCCTCACCAGCACTACCAAGAAACAGATCATTTAAATGCTTTTTTTAAACAAGATGATCTGACCACTGGAGACACTAAACCAGTGTGCAGGGCAGATCCTTCCAGGGTGCAGAGATCAAACATCCCTCTCTTAAATCTCAGTCTACACACACACACACCTTAGGTAACTTGGTTGTTTGGCTCTTAATTTGCACGGAAACAGAATATGCTGTCATTTGTTAACCAGAGATGCTCACTACTGCTGCTCCCACAGGGAGCATGTTATCTTTTAGGAGCTGTTTCAGGTTTTTCCCAGCGATATATCAAAGACTTTTCCACAACCAAAACCATAAACTGAGGATAAGTAAGGCATATTGTTTGGCTTATCTATATTTTTACTGCAGAAGAAAATACAGCAGCACAGGCTCCTAATTTCCAGTTGGCAGAACGTTATTTATTGGTTCAAAAGGATGTTACGTAGATAAAATACAGATTAGTTTTTAATAATACAATTCATAGAATCATAGAATCATAGAATATCCTGAGTTGGAAGGGACCCTTAAGGATCATCAAGTCCAACTCTTGACACCGCACAGGTCTACCCAAGTTCAGACCATGTGACTAAGTGCACAGTCCAATCTCTTCTTAAATTCAGTCAGGCTCGGTACAGTGACCACTTCCCTGGGGAGCCTGTTCCAGTGTGCAACCACTCTCTCTGTGAAGAACCCCTTCCTGATGTCCAGCCTAAACTTCCCCTGCCTCAGCTTAACCCCGTTCCCGCGGGTCCTGTCGCTGGTGTTAATGGAGAAAAGGTCTCCTGCCTCTCGACACCCCCTTGCGAGGAAGTTGTAGACTGCGATGAGGTCTCCCCTCAGCCTCCTCTTCTCCAGGCTGAACAGGCCCAGTGCCCTCAGCCGTTCCTCCCAATTGTTTGGGTTTTGTTCTTTCCACTTTTTTTTTTTTTAAACATAGCAGACCTTTGGTTCCTATGTTTAAGCTGATAGTTTTTTATAGTGATATAATGCATCAGTGTGCTGAGTGGAGAGAAGTTTCTCACTAAATTAAAACAGATTTCCAGAGATCTTTAGAAAACAGTAAGAGTACACAAGTTATCAAAAGGGAAGAAATCCAACTCCCAGAGCTCTATGTACCTGAATAGTGTGCTCCAGTGGGTGCAAACTGATACAGGAGGGAAAGGCAAGAGCAGTGACAAACCTGTCCATTTTTGGAGCCTTATAGCTGATAAGCGTTGTATGGACAGAATGTATTAAATACATATCTTAAAATTTATGCTCAATTTTCCTAAATATTATAAACTAAATATTTACTGAAGAGCTTAAACTATCTTTAATATGCACAAATATTGGACATGGTATCTTAAATAAACATAGATATATCATTATTAGATACTCAGTACGCATCCCTGGTACAAAATCATGTCTTAAAATCTTCAACTTGATGAAGGCTACATGTGATTTTTTTTTATCCTAAAAAGTAACAAGCTCTCCTGTCTAGTTCTGTAGTGGTAAACTGGAGCAAAACCAAATATACAGACACAAAAAACTGCTTAAAAAGAGATCTCATATAAGGTCCTCTCCCTATTATATCAGCACTGACAAGTGAGGTGAACATGGGTGTTTGTCGAGTTTCCATGGACCAAACCCAGCAGTCCTGCATCTGACAGCCACCCAAAGCCGGCAGCTCAGCACAGAGACCCCGCTCCTCTGAGGCACTCCTCTGGTGATCACTTCTGCAAGAGCTTCAAGAGAGAGAATGGCACGAAGGCAGAGTCCCTGCCCAGCCCAGCGGGGCACTGGAGTCCCCACCGTGTCCATCCACGCTGGCACAGCAGAGAGCAGAAAGGCAAGGCAGCTGCGGCCGCACTCCCCCTGGGTTTCTGCAGAGGGAAAGACTAGCATATGGCAAGACAGAAGGAAATGCACCCGTAACACAGAAGCTAAATTTTCGTATGAAGTCACAATAAAGGACATTTAAGGATTCAACACTTCCTTCCCTGACCTGTGAGATTTCGGTTTTGCTGCCATGTGAATAAAGGCTAGGCTCTCCACAAGTGCCCACTACAGACTAATCAAAACAGCTATTAGCTCTCCCCTCCTTCAAATGTGGCTGAGGCACACGCATCAAATATCTTGCCCAAGGCCACCAAAGGATACATCTCAGAGCAAGGTTTCAAATTCAAGGGCCGCTGTCTCTCAGTCTCGATAAGAACAATCTATTTTTATATAAACATTCACTTGCACAATAGCAGCCCTGTTGTCTTCAGGGAGAAACCCTCTAGGCAGCTATTGTCAGACGAGTTAAAAATGTACCTGTGGGAATATCCCAGACACAGAGTAGGCATTGTTATGGGCTGAGTAATACCATTAACCAGACTGTGAGAAAATTCTGCTGTTAGAATAACAGTAACTGCTAGAAAGAGGCATTTAATAATTAACTGTGAAGAAATACTATTCAGAAAAGGGATTTCCATCTGTGTAAAATCTGCCAGCTCCTAACACTCGGATTCTCTGGATTTATTCAGGATTACACATATGAGAGCAAGAACCAGCTCTCCAAGCTACTAAATTAAAATGCAGAAGAAGATCAAGCATTGCCTTTTCTAAATTTATTAATAGTAAAACAAAAATGAATTTCAGATGGAACTGGAGACAGGGGTGCAGTCACACTGCACTGTGCATGTC